TTCCATAACTTGGCTATTGTGAATAGTGCCGCAATAAACATGGGTGTGCAGGTGCCTCTGGAGTAACCTGTGTCACAGTCTTTTGGGTATTGGATCATTCTTGTAATCAGTGGTTTGAATTGTTGAGTTTGTTTCATTTTGAGGAGTCATGTTACCTTGTATTTTTATATTTCTTGTGTTTCTGTGTTGGGATTTGTACACATGAGGCCAGGTCATTGTTGGAAGTTTTAATCACATATAGTCTTTCAAATGTAGTATTCTCAGTGTTCAGGCAGAACAGTACAGTGGTAGAGTTCAGCTGCTATTTCTCACTGAAATAGGTCTGTGGCTTAGTAGCCAAGCATTTGCCCATATACTAAGAACACTAGACCTGATCCCTAGCACTATTCAGATTAAGGAGAACTAGCTGGAATCTCTTGTAAAAGGGTTGGTTATATGTGTCTGGACTGCTTTCACTAGCAAAGCTTCCTTTTTTTGTATTGGAAGCCACTGCTGGCTGTATGGAGCTTTATAGACTGGGCTACATAGGTTCTCACTTGATTCACATGCCTTTCCAGTTTGTGTCTGTGGGGGCAGCAAGTATGCAAGTCTGTGAGTGTCCCTTGAGTGTATCAGCGAATGGGACACAGCAAACAGAGCCCCAAGTTCTGCACTTGCAGGGGCACATGGAGGGACTGAGACACTGTCTACTGTGCTTGATTTTTCAGACTGTGCTCGGGAGATGTTCCTATGTAAGGAGAAGGCTGTGGAATTCATTATTGGAGAGTGTCAGTGCTGGTTTGTAGTCCTGCCTGGTAACTAACACATGCCAGGATGCATGTAATTACCACCAGAAGCTTGTGGAGAAAGGTCATGTGATTTGAAAGATCAGTGTCACTCATACACTCAGATTTTACTTCCTGTGTGGAGAAAGGGGCGTGGAAATCTCAGTGATTTGAAAGATCTGAGCTCAGGTCACTCAGTGCTGCTTGTAGCAAACATTGCTGGGGTGTAGTTTTTGGAGGTGGAATTCAGAGGTCTGGGCTTGGGGTTCTCAGAAGATCTGAGCTCAGGTCACTCAGTGCTGCTTGTCAGCAAACACTTGCTGGGGTGTAGTTTTTGGAGGTGGAATTCAGAAGGTCTGGGCTTGGGGTTCTCAGACCCACTTGGCAGCCAATACGAATAGCCAGGAGGCAGGTCTTAGAGGCATAGTATTGCACCAGCCAGAGGCTCGGTGCTCCATTTCTGCTGTGACCCTCAGACAATGGAACTCACTCCTAGCCAGAGAGGACAGGGCCACTAACCACCATAGCCTTCTCTCCTGGAAGAGAAGAGGTTCCCTCTGGGTCCATGTCAGACCCTTTCCTTCTCTACAACTGCATCTTAACTAATTAGATCTGCAAAGACATAAGTTGTATTTAGAGGTTCCAGGTAGACATGAGTTTTTAGGAGACATCATATTCAACCCAAATATACCCTTCTAGCCTCAGCTCTTTCTCCCTCACTTGTGGACTTGTTCATTTACTTTGGTGCCTTAGATAGGTGAGAGTTCACCAGACAAGGAGAAAAGGCTTCCAAGCAAAGAAAAGTAGATACACAAAAGGCTACAGAGGAGGAAAACTTGAGCTTAGTCTGTAATATAGTAGGGTTTTACTTATTTTTGTTTGCTCATTATTTTATTGCTTCACTGTACTTTAAAACATTGTCCAGGTGTTACCTTTTTATGAAGGTTCCCTGGCCTCTCCAGGGACTTTTTCTATTCCCTAAGTGCTTACTATTCTGTAGGCATCACTTTGTATTTGATTATTTTACTTATTAGGCCTTTGTGATCCTGGTAGATTGCATCTAGTCTGTAGCACAAGAGTCTCCAGGAGATATGTCTGAGTAAATGTAGTCATCTGCATTTAATCCCATAAAGACTAGTGGCGTACATGTTGGGAAGAAGTTGTGCTAGCCCTTTAAGCTACATTCGATGGTTAAGTCTTAGATGAGATAGTGAGGATTTGACCATTGCGGGAAAGGGTTGTACTGAATCATCTTTAAGGTTTCTTCCACCTAGAGGTTCTCTTTCCCATGTAGCCCAGTCTGGCTTTGAACTTGTGATCCTACTGCCTTAGCCTCCTAAGTACAAAATTTTAAGGTCAATAGCTTGGAAAGTGGTGGTTGAAGCAAACTGCTTGATTCCTCTTGCTTTGAGGAATCTCACTGTCTTTGAAAGAATGCAGTGCTGGCTGGAACATTGTACCGAATAGTGCAGTCAGGGCTTTAAGGGATGCCAAGCCTCTTGGACCTCACGTGGGTGGGCAGAGATTGTGAGCACAGCCCCTCTTGTCCAGCAGATGCCCTCTCAAAGCACAGCAGTTTTTGCACATTCTTTATTTGTACAAAAGGATTTTAAAGACTATAATTTAATTGTCTTTGGATTCCTGTTCCATTTGAAACTATTTTACTACCTTGTTAAAGACACACTAAAAATTGTCTTTTTATTTTTGATGGGAGCAAGAAAAGTTTAACTGTAGGGAATACCAAGAAATGAGGCAATCAACAACATTTCCACAGAGGTGATCAGTGTACCAGGGATATTTTAGGAAAATACCATATACTTAGTATGTAATACCATTCATTTTAAACATCACTTTTTCTAATTACAAATGAACTGTTCATTGGTGCTAATTATTGCATCACTTTGGCATGTTAGAAAAATTGCCCTAGACTATAAGCACTTTTTAATTTGAGAGAACAGCGTGGGGTAAAATGCTATTATTTAAATAGCTTTGAAGCAAAAGTGACATATAAAAATATTTCACAAGCCTGTTAGAAATAATTTCCCCCACGTATGGTTCCTGGAGAAAATGCCTTATTCTTTTGGTTGTGGAAGCAGCACAAACTCTGTGAAGCAGTTTCATTTTTATAATAATGGACAACCATCAGAGTGGGCAAGGATTGAATGAACAATGCTTCTCCCAACCACCAATTATGAACTATGCAGCTAAAATCCAGCTAATCACAGCTTGTTGGGTTTGTCACTGTGTATTAGCTCTTGGCAAATTGAGTTAATTAACTTTGAGAGAACCCATTCCATGCTACAACCCCAAAATAAAACTGGATTGTTGAGAAGGCCTTGCAAAATTTCAGGGCCATTTTTGTTTATTTCTCTCTCTTCTAGGGTAGGGATTCCTAAGGTGGGTTCATGAAGGTCTGTGAACTGGAATAGGAAAATAAACAAGAGCTTTTTTCATTCACTTCAAACTGAAATTTAATTTAACATTAAAAATTATACATAGGCAACAATCCATAGTGGAGTTGTCACCCACAGAAGTCACAGACTCAAGAATTGCAAGAGCCTATTTGCCGTATTAATAAAGAAGTTAATTTCCTTTGGAACCTCTATGTATTATTTTGTGAATTTAAAAACATTTTCATGATTAACAAGGGAAGAGTGAAGAACTGTCAAAAACCCAAGGAAACTAGAGAAATACGACAACCATCTGCAGATGGAGCAGAAAGTGGAAAACTGGTGAAATCCAAATAAAAGTCTGGAGTTTAGTTCATAGTAATGTGCCAGTGTCAGTTCTTAGTCTTGACATGTGTTCCATGGAAATATAAGGTGATATTAGTGGGGGAAACCAGGTGAGAGGTTCATGGAAATGCTCTGATGTGACTTCATAGCTTCTCTGCATCTGCCGCTGACAGGGAAGGCCTCAATGGGGGTTTGGGTCAACTCAAGACCATTGTGGCCTCTTCCAGTGACACTTTAAGGAATTGTTGAGATAGGCCAATCCAAAGGTAAGGAGAAGTTTTCAGAGAAGTGGAGTGATGTAGAGTGCAGTAGAGTAGAAAAGGCATGGCTCTGGAGTCAGAGAGCTCAGGGGTCATGACTGTCACAAGCTTTTTGATGTGGGGCTACTCAGAGCTTTCTCTTCCCCTTTGCAAAATGGAGCTATCCACACGGGCCTTCCTTGCTACGGTGTCATGAGAAGTAAAGGTAACATACTACCTAGGTGAGCCTTTGCTGGTTTTGCCACGGGCCTTCCTTGCTACGGTGTCATGAGAAGTAAAGGTAACATACTACCTAGGTGAGCCTTTGCTGGTTTTGCCTGGTGTGTTTTACTACTTTCCACATGACAAATAACATGCTTAGCATTCTTCGTAAGTGGTCTGTTTCATCTTCATGACACTTGTGTTACATGACCATTTCATAGGAAAGGAAACTGAGGGTCAGAGGCTCAGTGACCTTACTGCCCAAGGCCACAAAGCTGAGCTTAAAGCAAGCTCTGTGCTGTCTGTTGTTGATCTTCCTAAGTCTCTGCTGGGCAGCCAGAGGACTGGGTTCCAGGTTATTCTCACTCTCTTGGACCTCTGAGCCCATCAGATTCTGCATCTGTCAGATTCAACGCCCTTCTCATGATTCTGTTGCCTGTGGTGGTGGGCTTCTCTGGACTTCACCTTATCCAACTGTAAAATGAGCATTTTGGACTGTCCTTAAGGTCTGCTCCAACATTAGAGAGCTCTTCCACATTCTGTAAATCTTAAGTGCTTACTGCAGCTGTTTTATTGGGATAAGTACTAGGACTGAAACCAAAATTTCCCAAAAAAAATTTTTTGGCATTTTCCAAGATTCCAAAGAAGAAAAACCAGAGCTTTAAGCTTTAATTGCCTCTTAAATCCACAATAAATAATTTTTAAAAACTGGAATTTACCTGTTTATTAATTGGGATTTTGTTCAGAAATTTCTGTACAGAACATGGGAGTTGGTTCTTTTGTTTTCCTTCTGTGATCAGAAAGGAAATATTGTGTGTCACCATGTAGTTGCCAATTACTTCAAACTAATGTTTAGTATTAAAAAATCAAAATTTAAAAAGGATAGCTTCCAGATTAACTATTACCTGGACAGATGAACTTAGCTATAAGCAGTAGTTTCCACAAGTGACATGGGTATACAGTGAGAGCAGCACTTAGTAGAGTCGGGTTATTGTAGAGGGAGCATCTCTTAACCCATGACTTGCTGTCTTGTTTTTCAGTTTTTCTCCTACATCCTGTTACTATTCGCAGTCCTGCTGCACCTGCCCACCCTGTTCTGGCGCTTCACAGCTGCTCCTCACCTTTGCTCAGACTTGAAGTTTATCATGGAAGAACTTGATAAAGTTTACAACCATGCAATTAAGGCTGCAAAGAGTGCTCGTGACCTCGACCTGAGCGATGGTGCCTGCCCGGCTCCAGGTGTTAATGAGAACATAGGGCAAAGATAACAGCCCCTGGCAGGAAGCTCGACAACTTTGTAGTTCAAGTTCTCTGCTCTTTCTTTTGCCATTCTAAGCCTAGAACTTCCATTGCCAGACACTGGAAGGGCTGGGGATTCATCCTCCTAGTGACGGTCTGTGGGAGCTAAAGCACATCCCCTCTCCCCACATCTTACCCATCCATTTGTTCCAGCGCCTTTCCTCCTGTTAAGATGCCTTTCCTTGCTGAATGCAGCTTTACCATCTCATCTTTTGAATGAAGTTCTTACAGAGGTCACCGTTCAAGTACTATGTGTGGCTTGCTGGCTTTAAGGGAAAAGCACACTGAATTTTGAAACAACCAAGCTTAGAGAACTGATGAGAGAGATGGGGAACAAGTGCCTTGCCGTTTCACATTCTTCTGTTATTGCTAATAATGATAATATTGAGCGCTGCATTTTAAAATACTTCTTTTAAGTTGGGACTGGTGTTTGAACTCAGGGCTTTGCACTTGAAAAGCAGGTGCTCCAGTACTTGAGCCACACCTCCAGTCTACTTTGCTCTAGTTATTTTGGAGATTGGGGTTTCATGTACTATTTGTCCAGGCTGGCCACAAATTGCAATCCTTTCTGTTTTGGCCTCTCAATAGCTAGAATTATAGGCATTAGCCACCAGTGTCAGGCTCATTTTTTAAATACTTAAAATATCCCAGACACTGCATTGAGATCTTTTAGTATATTATCTCATTTAACTCTGAGAATAGCATTATTAACTAAGGGTATTTATCTCTTCCTCCACAGCCCCCCCCCCCCCAGATTAAAAGCACTGTCTTGTAGCTCTAAGTGAGAGGGTTGGGGACCTCAACCATGCCAGTGAGGCCCCATAGCCTTGCTCCTGTACACTTTGTGTCTCCAGCCCTCCCCTGTAGAAGCACATGTATTTTAGGTGGGCTAAAAAACTCTTTACCTTACTCTATATACTTTCATGGAAAACAGTAGTTAAAGAAAAGCAACAGTTCCTATTCAGGAACTGATAAATTTAACAAACATTTAGCACTAGGTTGGTTGCAAGGCATTGTTCTCAGAATTTCTAAATAGTAATTCATTTAATTAACTGGACTTTTAAAATATTTAGAGAAAGTATTTTATTATTGTTTTCCTTTCTCTCTCGCTTTCTTTTTTTTTTTTTAAACCTGGTTTTATTCCCTAGTATTTGAGTGAAGGTATAGGTGATGTGGGTGTTTAAAATTTTTAGTGTGACACTGTTAAGTGAGTTCTGCTGTTAATATTTGATGGTCTTGGTGAGGGTCCAAGTTATTTTTCTGTTTCCTTTTTAGTTTGTGGGAGATATCTGAAAGCCACTTCAAGTACCCAATTGTTGAGCAATACTTGAAGACAAAGAAGAACTCTAGTAATTTAATCATGAAGTACATTAGCTGCCGACTGGTAACATTCACAATTGTACTATTGGCGTGTGTCTACCTGGGCTATTACTTCAGCCTGTCCTCACTCTCAGACGAGTTTGTCTGTAGCATCAAATCAGGGATCCTGAGAAATGACCGCACCATTCCCGATCAGTTTCAGTGCAGACTCATCGCAGTTGGCATCTTCCAGTTGCTCAGCTTCATTAACTTCATGGTTTATGTTCTACTGGCTCCCGTGGTTGTCTATACACTGTTTGTTCCATTCCGACAGAAGACAGATGTTCTCAAAGTATATGAAATCCTGCCCACTTTTGATGTTCTGCATTTTAAGTCTGAAGGGTACAACGACTTGAGCCTCTACAGTCTTTTCTTGGAAGAAAATATAAGTGAACTGAAGTCATACAAGTGTCTTAAGGTACTGGAGAATATTAAAAGCAGTGGTCAAGGAATTGATCCCATGCTACTCCTGACTCACCTTGGCATGATCAAGATGGATGTTATTGATGGCAGAACTCCCATGTCAGCAGAGACCAAAGGAAAGGAGCCGGGGAGCCAGATGGCAGAGCTCACAGGTAGGGTTAGTTTTCCAGAGGCAGAGCCCACAGAGCACATTGCAGCAGCCGCTTGTAAATACTGACTATCAGTATCCCGCCTATCATTTGAACCATTGGCCTAGCATGGCCCTTAGGGGAAGCTCAAGACTGGGAGAGAGTGGGAATGAATTGATGCTATTTCACATTTCCAGGGAAGGAAATTTATTTTTTCAGGTTGTTGTGTCTCCCTTTTCTCTTTCTGCCTCATACTGTGCCTCTTGCTCCAGCACTTCTCCTTGTTGTCTTTCTTGCTTATATGTGTCTTGTCTTACTGGCTTTTCTCTCTGTATCTCTGATTCCTTTGTCTGTTGTTTTCTTTTTCTTAAAAGGGACTGGGAATTTATCAATTCCAAAGGAAAGGAGCCGGGGAGCCAGATGGCAGAGCTCACAGGTAGGGTTAGTTTTCCAGAGGCAGAGCCCACAGAGCACATTGCAGCAGCGCTTGTAATACTGACTATCAGTATCCCGCCTATCATTTGAACCATTGGCCTAGCATGGCCCTTAGGGGAAGCTCAAGACTGGGAGAGAGTGGGAATGAATTGATGCTATTTCACATTTCCAGGGAAGGAAATCTTTATTTTTTCAGGTTGTTGTGTCTCTCTTTTCTCTTTCTGCCTCATACTGTGCCTCTTGCTCCAGCACTTCTCCTTGTTGTCTTTCTTGCTTATATGTGTCTTGTCTTACTGGCTTTTCTCTCTGTATCTCTGATTCCTTTGTCTGTTGTTTTCTTTTTCTTAAAAGGGACTGGGAATTTATCAATTGCTGCCTTACCTTCACTTTGCTTTGAAATTAGGCAAAGAAACAACATGATAAAGCAAGTACATGAAAAGAAAGTTGATTAGTACTGATCGTTCCTGCTACACCTGTCACAAATACTTGCTTTCAATTTTGACAGGTTTGGACATGCATGGTGAAAAATAATGGAGAGAAGAATGCTCGCCAGAGACTTCTGAATTCTTCTTGCTGATGATTTTGTTTTTGAACTTCAAGTCTGTGATTCTGTGACAGAAACCTGATGGGTTTGTAGCTGGTTTGCAGTAAGTGGGTTTTGGTAGATAAACTGAGTCCCTAATGAGCACAATGATCAACAAATGTGATGGAAGACTAGTTTATGAACTTCCTGCAAGAAGCAACACGAAGATAAGTACACTATAGCAAGTATATATGTGTAAGTCCTCAACAATGAAAAGTGGAAGGAGTTGTAAGAGTAGGGAAAGAGTCTTTTAGAGCCTTGGAGGAAATGCTTTCTGTACCAAAGGTGCAATGAAACTCAGAGCTACTAGAAAGCAAGAACCTTTGAAGATTTGTTTTGTTTCTGAAATAATAATAAATATCAGAATATAATTCAATATTAATCTCTTATGTGCCCTTGCTAACTGTTGGATAGGAAAAGCATTCACTGAGCCAGGCACCAGTGGCTCACTCCTATAATCCAAGCTACTTAGAAGAGCAGGAGGATTGTGGTTCGAAGTCAGCCAGGCAAATAGTTCGCCATTGAGACCCTATCTTAGAAAAAACCATCCCAAAAATAGGGCTGGTGGAATGGCTCAAGGTGAAGGCCCTGAGTTCAACCCCTGTGCTGCAAAAAAAAGAAAGAAAAGTATTCACTGGATAACTTGTGGACCCAGATGTCAGTCCATAGTTGGCAGGGCCCTAAATTGGGTGTAAACCTGGTGTCTTGGTTGTCCTACCCTTGAACTCGCCTTACCCTGTTACTCGCCACCCTTGGTTAATTGCAGACCTCTGATCACCTCTGACCACTGCTTGCTGCACTCTGCTCTGAAGAGCAGCAGGCCCAAGCACCACTCTGACTGAAAACTCAATAAGATGGAATCCAAAGGATATTGAGTTTATACCACAGTGACTTTAAGAAAGAAACCTTCAAAAAGAGCCCAGTGGGTAAATCTGAATTTGCAGAATGTAATTCAGTCACATTCAGAGAGGTTGTCTACAGGGTGTAATCAAAGGCATTTGAAACAGAATTTAACTTAAACCCATTAACAGAACACAGGAATATTTACAGTGAGGGACACTTTGCCTAATATGACCAGAGCACATAAATGACATTTGCTATCTGCTTGGAGCTGGAGCAACTTAACAGTTGATTGTGTTTCTATTTAAGCAGAGCTTTTAAAAATGCATTTTAATTTATGCAGTGTCAGAACTGAGGTCATTTGAGAAGAACATGGTAGCATTGATGGAGACTTATAAATGTTACAAATGGATGGCTAAGACAAACACAGGCATTATTTCATAAACATTTAAGACTGACTCAGAATGTCAAAAACTGTTCACATTCTGACTATACAAATACATACTATGTTCACATGTTATACAAAAAACCCCCTAACCTATGGACCTTCACATCTTTATTCTTAGAGATTTGACACATTGCTTTACTAAGTAGTCCTCAGGAACCTCAAAGTTTACTTTTGGCCCTTGGGGACCATTGTTTACCTAATGTAACTGCTTTCTGGTGAAGAGCCTACATTATATAAGCTGTTATCTGCCTTTCAGAATGTACAGAAAAGCAGATTTTATTTGTACTTCTGTGACAGTTTCTGAAATGAAAAACTAATGATAAATATAAAAAATGGAATCAAGGCTTTAAATTTTCTTCTATTACATATTTATTACCATTAAATTATATGCGAGTTAGAAATGATGGTAACTTAATTTTTTTTCAAGGAAGTTATTTTGAACATTTTAATTAATAAGAATCTTGGAACTGGATAAAGGTAAAGATGCAGAGCTGCACAATATTTGTAAAGTATTTCAATAGCCTTGACCATAGCAGACATTGCTTTTTTCTGATGGACCCTCTAGTTCCCACCATTCTGTCTTTGGAATATGTAAGAAAAGAATATTCATGGAGAATGTTTCTGGAGCCCTCATAATCTTGTTTCTTTGAAGCAGCACCACCCCCAGGAAGGATGCACTTGCAGAATTCCTGCATTTCTTTGGACATTCATCAAAATGCTGCTTTTACAGAATGAATGTTCACACATGGGGATGATAAGTACAGAACTGTACTCAGCCCAGTCATCAATTGCAGTGAAACTGATTATAGAATAATCAGAATCAGTTTTTGTTTTTGTTTTTTTCCTTCTAACAGCACTACCTACTGCTTGTTCCTTCCCCCCTCCACCATGATGAAAAACATGGGAAATATTTAAGCCAATGAGTGTCTTTCTGTTTTTTCTGACATGTGTTGTACACATTCTGGTTAGATTGGGAGTAGCTGGACTATGGTGTCTGACATACTCGAAGCAGGAGTCATGGGGCAGTAAAAGATGAAATGAGTAGGTGCTTAATTTATTCCCTTTCTTCTTAGAGTATCTTCCTGCTGAGTTCTTTTCAATTTCCTGCACATTCGTGAAATGCCATGATAAAAGTCTTAGTAATATAAGTTAGTCAAACCCATGCACCTCAGGTTTGACCTATAAGAGAATCAGTGTGAAAGTTTGGAAAGGGAACTTACTCTGAGATTTACTGGGAACTTCCCTTAGAACTCACTAGCACAGCCTGGAGAAAAGGCAAATCGAAAATGTATCCCATTGGCCTCCTGCTTACTTCCCAGCCTCACCCTAATGGTGTGCCTGCATCATCACAGTCAGGGAGACTGAAAAAGGACTGACCAAAACAAACCATTGAAGACCCAGAAAACACTCTTAGGTGAAACAGTTCAGGAAGAGCTACTGTTTGTGTTGCTTGGATTGTCCAGATAATTGTCTGCCCTCTTCAGTTTGCTGCCTGTCAGCACACAGATATTGCCAAAGCGGTCAGGCTCTGATGTCTTGTGCTCTTTGTTTCAAACATTGGCAAATGGGGATTTGAAGAGGCATTTCTTCAGTGTCATCATTTTGTGTGGTCTGTGAGAAGGTGGTTTTGTGTTTTCGCTGGTTTTGTCCTGCAACATTCAACTGCACATTAGTCTGACGACAACCCACATCTTTGAGCTTCTGGTTGTGTAATCCTGGAGTTTCCAAGTCACCGTGTGTGGATTTGGCATCAGTTCACATTTAGCCAGCTGGCTAAGATAGGAAAAAAATAGGGTATTTCTTTCCTTATATAATAATGAAAAGCAATAATTACAAGTATGTAATAATACACGAAAGGCCATAATTAGTCTCTTCCAGTGTTTAGGATGCACTAAAGAATTGTGTAGTCATTTGGAGTGTGTTCAGATCCATTAGTGTATACTATAGTACCCTTCCAGCAAACAGATACCTGAATTGCTGTTCCACAATTTTATTAGCCCATACTACTGCATTTTGGGAGTGACAAATGAGTTTGAAAATGCAAGCAGTTCTTTTAAAGCACTGTATCAGAGACTGTCTTGTACATTTACCTGTTGCAAACAGGCTGCTTTGTAAAAGATGTATGTTTTGGTGTTTAAAATGTTTATAAAATTGTATATAAATGTTTCAATTTTCCAGGCTTTTGTAGATACTATATTTGATGCCTACCAGGATGCTTTAATTTCGAGGGTCGAATATAATTCTAAGTCATCCACCTTGTTGGTCTGCAAACTTTTGAGGTAACTACATACAAAAAAATAAGACTTTAGATTTGAGAATGATTTTTTTTAATTATTTCAAAATGTACTGTAACTTTTCTTTGGTTCTACTGTTTTCGCTTAACCTCCTCTGTTTTCAAGAAAATGTTTCTATTGACATTTTTTAAAGATGAATGTGTTTTGCCCAGTTATTAAGCAACTGATCAAGATGAGGTGTATCATTTCTTCTCACACATGCACACTCTCCTAAACTTGCACACACATCACACACCAAAACTTATGCAAAGCGGAAAGCTAACACTTGAAGTGGATCTTGTCCCTATGGAAATGGATTGTTCCTGCATATATTGCTGTTGGCAGTATTCAGTCTTGTGTTCTTTTCTAAAAAAATGAAAGGAAAACAAACAAAAAAACACAGCCAAAAAAAAAAGACAAAAAAAAACCCAACTGTACAGGTTTGTAACTGCCAAAATTTGATGGTCAAAACAAGTTTTCAAGTAAAAAAAAAAATGAAGCCGTTTGTTGTGCTGACTCTTTGTAAGTGTGTGTGTCCCGGGTTTCCCTGGCTAATTTCTCACATGGCACCTAGGAGGGTGTATTCTGCAGGGCAGAGTGAAAAGGCCAATCTCAGCAATTCAATTCTCATCTCCACTCAAAGAACACAGTCTCTGGCCTGAAGGAAATCTTTTGGTTTCATTGTGTTTTGTGGCTTTTTTCCTCTCAAAGACTTTCTGCCTTGGTTGAGATGCACGTACGTTGGAGTCTTCTGTAACTTCTTATTGGACACATTCTCTGTGGTGCTTTTAAAAGTGGCAGAGGCAAGGATAGGTAAGGGCCCTCGGGTTCCACCTCTGCAAAATTGTCCCCTAAGCACAGCTCTGTCTCTTCTTGGCAGTAGGTGCAGTACTACTCTCTCAAAAAAAAAAAAAAAGTTTTCTCAAAAGTTTGGGGCATAATTGGTGCTTGAGTTTGCCTCCACATCTCCAGAAATTCTATGTGGAGTGAAATGAGTTAAAATGTATAAGACAATTTGGGAGGGTATAGAGCTCAAATTGACAATTTGAAGATGAGAGACATCACAAAAAGGTAGTCTAAGACCCGGAAGACTCTAGAAAGAAGCTAACCTATGCCTTGTTTTGGTGAGGGCAGGCCAAGGCCTGTAGCCAGTAAACAAATGTCCAGAGGCTGCCATCAGAGTGGGCCCTGTCTACACCAGCAGCAGAACTCAACCTGTCCACGGATCCTGTCCAAGATTCAGCCAGGGAGTCACAACTCCATGAGAAATGGCTACAGCTAGACATGAGTCTTCTTACTTGAAATCCTTATTGACTTCCACCTTCAAACTCACTGAGTTCTTCTGGGAATTTGTCCATACCCCCAGAGGTATGCAGGTGTTTTAACAGCTGGGTTTATGCACCCACTGGCAGCATAAACCAATTCCTTTGGTGTAAAGACAGCTATCATGACTGATTTTGCACTACCAAGG